GACATTACAATACTTTATCTTTTAACTTAATTTAAGCAACAAATATTATAGAAGAAAAATAAAGACATAAATTTCTTTTTGAACATTTCCATAAGCACACAGTAATTTGCTTACCTAGGGGGCGCATTTGTTCAAAAGTTTTAAATTAAAATTCACTTAAGATTATGCCTAAAAAATAGCATATTGTCCAAAAAAACAAAAAACACCAACATTTGAAATGTTAGTAACAACGCCCCCTAACGATCGATCGACACAATAAATAAAAGCTCAAGGTTTTATTGGGAACTGTCGAGAACAATAGTATAAAGAGAAGTTATGATTGATGAATAAGTAGATGTACGTAAAACGTCTTGTTCCTGAGGGTTAGAATGGACTAGTCTGTTTCCAAAGCAACATAACACAGAAAAATAAAGCAGAGGGAGAAAAAGTCAAACTGGTTTATGAAACAATGTACTTGTTAAACCGATTTGAAACTCTATGAAACCGTCAAGTGTTACTAAGTGTAAATTAATGATAGATATACCCCACCTGGCGGGTGTTTTTTTATCATTATTAGCTTGAAGCGCCACTTCATTTCCTTAGTTTTCTGCTCCGTGTTTGACAGTGTTAATATAATTCAAGTTCAGTCCTAACACGGCACCCGAAATCATTCGGAGATAAAAAAAAAGTTATAGTTTTAAAATAATTGGCCGCACGCAAGCACGTGTCGTAGTCACAACTCTGTGCACGTGCCAAGCGAAAAGTTTAGAATTTGTTTTAGCGGAAAGCTACGAGATTGGACTAGCTGTGTGGTGGTCATCACATAATCGAACCACACATGTCTGTCTCTGTTCCGGCGCAGAGCTACACAATAGAATATCTGTGCTATGGGACTCGAACGTCGAATTCTAGTGTTATACGTGTACTGCTGGGAAACTTGTTTTATCATAATTACCCAAAAGTTTATGACACGAGGCCTAATCTCAGAATAAAAACGAATCAAGTCGTTATAGCTGTAAAAGAAGTGATTAAACCTCTACACACGATATGTTTCACAAATAGCTACACAAGGAAGTTTCCACCAGTCTTATAAATATACGAGTTAGTTACAGTTATTTGAAGATTTTTTGTTAAATCTATAATTTCTATTTATTTGGTTTTTGGTTACGGGTTTGCTCCAGTTGGATGTGTACATAGATGCCCATGTGAATCTGGATTACGGATATTACAAAAGCCTTGCATGGCCTGGTGGTTAAGATGCTCGACTCGTAATCTTCGGGTTGCGGGTTCGAATTCCCGTCACCTAAAGTGAAAAGCTACACGAGGGCTATCTGCGCTAGCCGTCCCTAATTTAGCAGTGTAAGACTAGAGGGAAGGCAGCTAGTCATCACCACCCACCGCCAACTCTTGGGCTACTCTTTTACCAACGAATAGTGGGATTGACCGTCACATTATATCGCCCCCACGGCTGAAAGGGCGAGTATGTTTGGTAGGACGGGGATTCGAACCCGCGACCCTCAGATCGCGAGTCGAGCGCCCTAACCACCTGCCCATATTTCTTGCCAACACTCAGTTACAGACATAGTTCCGATTGTAACCGTTAGAGGTCAGCCCGTAAAACGTGTCTGAGACTTCTTTGTACTACACAGAATTAAAAACGTTCACATTCAAGACAGCACCACTCATATGCTTTTAATAAACAAAATTAAAGGATTATTATTATTATTTGTAATTAAGCACAAAGCTACACAAAGGGCTATCTGTGCTCTGCCCACCACGGGTATCGAAACCCGGATTCTAGCGTTGTAAGTCCGCAGACATACCGCTGTGCCACTGGGGGGCTGTTATAACTAGAAATCCATATAAAGTTTTATTTTTAGGGTTAGCTTCTCCTGATTGTGAAACTTCGGTTCCTTACAATAACGACTCCACTAAAGAAGAACTGTGTAAAAAATCTGGAAAAATCAGATCTGAAAAAATCAGGAAAAAAACCTTCTCTCAGCTAATGTTCTCTGATTATTACCATCAACAAGTATGCCTTTTTTTATGATGTTAAAAACCAACCTTTGTCTTTGAAGAAGACCCGGCATGGCCACGTGGGTAAGGCGCTCGACTCGCAATCTGAGGGTCGCGGGTTCAGCCGTGGGGGCGTTATAATGTGACGGTCAATCCCACTATTCGTTGGTAAAAGAGTAGCCCAAGAGTTGGCGGTTGGTGGTGATGACTAGCTGCCTTCCCTCTACTCTTACACTGCTAAATTATGGACAGATAGCCCTCGTGTAGCTTTGCGCGAAATTCAAACCAAATAAACCTATCTTTGAAGTCTCTGTGATTTGTTGGTTTGTTTTAGAGCAAAGTCACATTGAGCTATCTCCTTGGGCCAGCGCTGGGAAATCGAACCTCGGATTTCAGCGTTGTAAGTTCGTAAACTTACCACTGACCCACTCGGTGAGAATGTTTTAAAATAAACAAAAAACATTAATGGCCAATCAGAAATATTCTGTGCGATTAGTTTGAAATCCGTGTATTTTAGCTTCATACCGACGCTGTTTTGACTTCCATCGTAGTGAAAATAAACTAATTTAATTTTTTCTACCCTTACGATTATCATCTGTTGAAATTACGAAACATTTCCGGTGTAGAAGAGCGTTAGTTGCGTTAGCTTCAGACTGAACGCGTTAGTTGCGTTAGCTTCAGACTGAACGCGTTAGTTGCGTTAGCTTCAGACTGAACGCGTTAGTTCTCATTGACAGGGGTGCGTAAACCAATCGAACCTTTCATAAAGAAGATGAATTTCACTAAACGTTAATGTAACAGAGCCTGGTCGGTAACTCTTGCAGAAATCAATAAGTTCGGTGTAGCAGATAAAGCTGGGTACTAATATCTACCGACAGATGGCGAGAAATTTCGCCTGGAATACCCTGTAGAGACTTAGAGAGTATTGTTATGAGGCTCGAGAGAAGTCGTAGACCGTTATATGGTTGGAACCATGTCATCTGTAGAGTAATCAAGTTATCGAGGAGGGTAAGAACATGGGGTTTGAGAAATAGAAATCAAAATGTCACATCTTTAATGGATTATTGTTCAACCGAGTTTCCAATGTTTCTCAAAGGAGTAGTGTTCCTTATCTGGATTTTTTGAAATCAGGTATTCCACTAACATCGTTACTTTAGATCTGATAACACATCGTGAGAATCAGGATTTCTAAAAATATGTATGTAACAAGATATTGTTCATTTGAGGCATCGTGGGATATGTTTTAAAGTGATTTTTTTTTGGAGTTAATGTCCGCTACATAGGTAAGCGACAGGTACTGAAGAATGGGGATCGATCAATAAGTTCTTAGTTATGTAATCTTTTAGTGGACTTGTTCCTGTGGCTTTAATAATGCTTCTATTAAAGATCTTATAACCAAGGTTTTAACCCACAATAAATACGAAACAAAACGTAGTTTTAGTAACCCTAAAACCCAGTCGTTATATTGTACCTTAAAATTTGTCAAACCGGAAACACTAGATGTCGCTATCAACTGTTAGGAAGAGTTATCGACATTTAGGGAAATTTTCACAGACGGCTTATCGGAAGTCAAACCGGAAACACTAGATGTCGCTATCAACTGTTAGGAAGAGTTATCGACATTTACTTCTGATTAGCCTTCTGTGAAAATTTCCCCAAATGTCGATAACTCTTCCTAACGGTTGATAGCGACATCTAGTGTTTCCGGTTTGACTTCCGATAAGCCGTCTGTGAAAATTTCCCTCAAACCGGAAACACTAGATGTCGTTATCAACTGTTAAGAAGAGTTATCGACATTTGGGGAAATTTTCACAGAAGGCTAATCGGAAGTCAAACCGGAAACACTAGATGTCGCTATCAACTGTTAGGAAGAGTTATCGACATTTGGGGAAATTTTCACAGACGGCTAATCGGAACATGCAAGGAGCTAAGATAATTCTTAATATACGAACACGTGTGTTTGCTTTTTTTTCATAAATGTTATCATTTCAACGACGAGAAGAAAAAATAAAGGTCTGCGCAAACTCAGTTCTACTGATAGCTCTAATTGGACGACGTGAATCAGACCGCACAACGAGAAAGTGGCGGAATGTAACGACTGGATTATTCGGGTTATAGATTTGGTACCATAATTAATGGGTTTTTTTATTACTAATATTTAAAGTTATACTGAAAACAAATCAAATTAAACCTTTATGTAAGCCTTTTCTCCAGTTTAACAAGAGATAAAAATGTATGTTTATTTCTATCCAATGACTGAATAGAATTCTGGAAAGATGCTTCAGTTTGGCACAGAGCATTCATCGCCAGAGGGCAGTGCAAGATCAGCAACTCGAAGAAAACCTTTTGATTTCTTTTCCAGTATATTTCGGTATAAAACTTTTTTTGTTGTTCTTGGTTAAAAATTAGGTTACAAAATCTCATTCGTTTCTATTGTCATTTAGTATATAAGTTTAGCTTAATTAGTGCTGTCATTATTATCCTGGTGGCGGTAAACCGAAACATCGATGAATGAAATAAAATATAAAAGAAAAACGTGTTATCTAAATGGTCGCCATCAGTTTTGAAATGAAAAATTCGATTTGAATCCATGATTTATGATGATTTCCATCTAAACAACGTGTTAATTTTAAGTTAATATCGTCAACAGTGCATAACCTGTTTGTGTAAGAAGCCGTTTGTCTTTCAGAAACATTTGATTACATGCCTTTTTTCTCATTCAAGAAAGAAATCAAAAGATCAAGAAGCTGAAGTAACAGATACGAGTGAAGAACCAGCCGAATATATTGATATATGCCCGGGTAGTACCCCTGATAGTTCAGCTTTACTGCCGATCTTGGAGGGTGAGCAAGAAAACCAGCCACCCACATCGCTTGCACTCCATCGGCCACGTACGTCTCTTCATCAAGAAAATACTATGGCAGACGACATGGTGGCGCTTCAGTTGTCCCGCCAAGACAATCCATTTCTTCTGAAAAGATCCCTAACTCGCGAAGATAATAAGATGGTTTCAGATGACACGTTCATTCCCCCTTACGAATCTGACCAGGAAATATTAGTTCAGAACAAAGACACGAGAAAAGATGTTGCATTAAGTGCAGATGATTTACATTCCCATTTAATTCGCAGTCCACCCCCAAAATTTGATAGTGCAGTGGTCCAGTTCAAGTTTCCTGAAATAAACCAGTCGGAAATCAACTTGTCTAGTCTTAGTGTTTGTACTGGTACAATACGTAAATCAGGAGAACTGATGCCCTTGGACAAACAAGGAAACACCTTTTATTACGTAAGCCTATCTTTAAACTTATTTAGTCTTAGTGTTTGTACCGGTACAATACGTAAAACATGAGAACTGGTGCCCTTGGACAAACAAGGAAACACCTTTTATTACGTAAGCCTATCTTTAAACTTATTTAGTCTTAGAGTTTGTACCGGTACAATACGTAAATCAGGAGAACTGGTGCCCTTGGACAAACAAGGAAACACCTTTTGTTACGTAAGCCTATCTTTAAACTTATTTAGTCTTAGTGTTTGTAGCGGTACAATACGTAAATCAGGAGA